CTAGAAGTGGAAGAGCTGGGTTATTTTTTGAAGACTGTCTGGTTTCATACCAGTTTGCTTTCCCACACACAGTACAGAAAGGCCCATTTTTCCAGCATCCCTACCAGCGCTTAGTAGTATTTGTTTTCTTGGTGATGGCCCTTCTTTCTGGAGTAAGGTGGAATCCACATGCAGAAGGTTGAGTCTAGACCATCTGTCTTACTGTGTACTAAACTAAAAGCAAAATGGATCAGAGATCTAACTGTTAGTACAGAAACACTTAACCTGCGGGAGGATAAAGTGGGCACAACTCCTGGAGACACAGGTATAGGCAAGGGCTTTCTGAACAGAACCCCACTTGCACAAGAAATAGCATCAAGAATCAACAAATAGGATCGCGTCCTTTGGAAATTCACAGCTCCCAGTACGGACGGGAGTGATGCTCACTCATTGGCTGCTCCAGGTAGCCCGCGTTTCTCTTTAATAAGTCCGTGGTTATTAGTAACTTAATAACTTTTAGGACTTGGCGTTCTCTTGCCAACTCAGTTCTTGACTTCAGCTTCGTGTTTTTTCAGTCATTAAGATCACTATGAGTCCTTACGCTGCTCTCCAAGTTGCAAGTTAGCTGACAGCACAAATGCAGGGGCTGATTTGTGAGGCGCCCTGCTCCTCACTGGTAACTTGTTCTGAAGTGCTACCAGCACGTTGTACAGACTAAAGAGCAGTGGAGCTTATTCTCTAAGAAGACGAGATGGGCTGCACGCAGACTCCCCGTGTGCTGCTACCAGTGCTACTTGTGTGCAGAGCCCTGAGTCGCTTGCCCTGCACGGGCCGAGTCTGGAAGGCACTCGCAGGACGTGTGTCAGGGAGGACTGTGTACGGCGTGTTGGGAGCAGATGTCATGAGGCAGAGCGGAGGCCTGTGCTACCTTCTCAGCTGGCTGCCTGGAGTCCTGAACGCGCTGGCCCATGGCGTCATGTAACGTTCTGTGTCTACTTATGAACTCGAATTGTGCCTGTGTCTGTAAGTTACCAGTGTTTGTGGAAGAAAGCATTAGTAGCTTATAGGTGTTTTAAAATGAAACATTTTTAGCAAAGAAATACACAGATGTAGTATGAAAATCCAGATGATTCAAGTGTGAAACAGAAACCTTTCCCTTGCTCCCGTCCTACCTGTTTGGTAGGAAATCAGTGACCTTCTGGTACTTCGAGGTGCTCCTGGTTTGGTGTCTTTGCTTTGACCCCTCCCTGGAGCCTCTGCCCTGGAGGCCTCCCCCACGTCTGAGTGCAGGGCCTTCCTGCACCCTCTGCTCAGCACCCCTCCCCAGTTGTGTGTTGTTGCGTTATGTGTTGATGTGCCGTTCAGTAGAAGAGTCAGCCTTCCTCCTTTGGAATCTCCTCATTCCTGGACCTCTGTTCTCGTTTTTTTCCTAGATTACCAATTTATTTTGTTACTTAAATTTCAGAAGCGTGCATGGCTCCTAGGTGTAAAAATTCATTAAAAAAACCTTCCACCATTCCACCTCCTGAGCTCCTCCCTGTTTATTAGGTTTTTGCTTTTATGAATACATGCTTGCCGGGCATAGTGATGCCACTCATGCTGGGGCTTCTGCGTGCACATGCCCGATCTCCCGCCCCCTCCCCTCTGGCAGAATCCAAATAGTATGTGTGGCTGCTTTTGTCTCTTGGGAAGTGTTGATTATTCTTTATTTGGATTTGTGCACTCACCACACTAAGTACCTTTCCGAAAGTCAAGGGCAGCACTTTAGATATGGGAATTCACTCTTGTGTTGCTGGTGAATGAGGGTTCCAGGTGGGAAATCCCACTCTAGCCAGGGACACTCCAGCCCTTGCCTGTGCACTGGCGTTGGGTTTTTTGTTGATTTATTGGTTTCAAACATTACTTACCACTCAATAGTGGTAGGTAAAGATCACATCTCTAGTCATGCTCCCTGTACCCTGTTCTTGTAGGGACCCCTTAGAGTACAACCATTTTGGACAAACAAGTGCTAGGTTAACATTTTTATAACTATATAAATAAGTTGGCCCCAAGCCATGTAGAACACAGTAATGATCAAATCATCTCATTTTTAATTTGCCTACTCTTGCATACAGACAAAATGTTTTTTTTAATTTTTTAATCATTTATTTATTTGGTACAGGGTCTTGCTATGCAGCTTGGGCTCATAGTGACCTACCTGTCTTAGCCTCCCCAGCGCTGGGATTGTAGGCATGTGCCACCCCGCCCGGTTTTGGTGGCTGGCTCTGGCGCTGGGCCAATGCGCTTGCCAGGCGGGTGCTTAGACTACTGAGCTATCTCCTCAGTGCCAAAACGATTTTTAGAGGCTCTAACATGACTGCCATACTCCAAATGTCACGTCCATTGTGTGCTCAGAGATACCAGTTCCTTCTTTATCTATCAATTAGTGCCTTTTGGGAGTATATCATATTCAGCCTGCTCTGGGCGTCTTGCTTAGAGCTGCTGAGGGCTTGGGAGATTCTGTCTTCCTCTTTTGGACTCTCCTCATTCCTGGACCTCTTGTTCTCATTTTTTCCTTGATTACCAGTTTGTTATTTAAATTTCAGAAGCATGCATGGCTCCTAGGTATAAAAATTCATAAAATGTAATCCAGTTCTTGCATGTCTGAAAGTATTTTTATTTGGTTAATAACTAATACAGAATTTGAGACTGAAAGTTATTTAGCCTCAGTATGTTTAAAGCCTTGCTCCTGTCCTACCTGTTTGGTAGAGAAATCACTGACCTTCTTGTACTTCTTGGTGCTCCTGGTCTTTGCTTTGACCCCTCCCTGGAGCCTCTGTCCTGGAAGCCTCCCGCCTCTGAGTGCAGGGCCTTCCCGTGCCCTCTGCTCATCACCCCTTCCTCACTTGTGTGTTGTTGCGTTGTGTGTTGATGTGCCGTTCGGTAGAAGAGTCATAACCTTAGTCTGAAGGGTTTTCTTGACATAGCATTTTCATGATTTTATTTTTTGCAGATCTTTTTCTTTCCAGGACATTTACTTTAATATATTGACTTTTCTCAGCAAAATGCTTGGTTTTCTTTCCTAATTCCATGGTGTCTTGTTCTACTCTTGGAGAGACATCGTCACCTTGTTTCGGAACCCATGTGTGGGGCTGTCAGTCTCTGTTCTCATCAGCTTATGTGCAGGAGCCCTTGCGTGCTGCGCAGTCATTCCCTATCAGTGCCCAGTGCTTGGCCACGCACCTTCTCTCAGTCATGAGGCTGGTCTCTAAGCTTTCCTGTGCTCTCTGCAGTAGTTTTATTTCTGCTAAGTTCCCCCCCCCCCCCATAGCTTGCTTTAACTCTTTCTTCATCTTGGACTTTTTCAGTTTGGGGTATCACAGTGGTGCCTTCTTCACCTCCCAAAATTAGAACCAGTTTGGAAATAGACCTGAGAAATATACAAATGGAGATAAATTGCTGGTAAAGATGATAACTGTGGTTTAGATCTGGGCTTGATTTCTCATGCATCTACCAAGCACTGAACTTAGCTACTGAGTGGTGTCCGAGCTAGGGCACTGCAGACCACACCCATAGGGGAAGGACGCTCACCAGGCAGCAGAGCTTGCATGCCACACGCTGGCCAGTCCTGAGGTGAAACAGCAAGGGTTGGCCAAAGCTTGCCTGGTTCCTAACTGGCTGAGAGCTGGGAGGGAGAGGGCCCTGGCTGTGCTCCTGCGCTCTGGGCCTTGTATGTGTGCACAAGGCTGTGAGGTGAAGCGCCCTCCCCTGCACAAGTTTCCATCAATGTGTGGCATCTTTCCCGCTCTGATAGAATATCCAGTGAGCATCCCTGGAGAGTGCTGAGGTTAACATTTGGCATCTGGCCTTGAGCGCTTAGTTCTCCCCCAGTATGACGCCTGATGCTCTTTCCTGAGGGTGGTTAGGTTTTCAAGAGCAGAAGCCTCAGCCTTCCAGGGTGGCATCATGGCTGCTGGTTCTCCGCAGCAGGGCCTGGAGTGCCACCTGCACCCAGACTCTCGATTCATCCCTTCTTTAACCAGCTGCAGCATTTTTCTCCAAGATACGTGATGTCTGTGGCCGGGACCTCTGAAAGAAAAGTGCAGGCAGGGTGGGTGGGCTCCAAGGGGTGGTGCTGTGCTGGGTCCCTGCCCATCCCTCCAGTCCGATGGGCCACACCTCCCCCAGCAGCTTCAGGCACCTCAGTTGTGCCTCCTGGGGCAGAGATGGCCCCCAAGGTGATGTGCCCTGCCCTGCTACTCTGTTTTCAGGTACCGTATTCATTGTCTCATTGCTGGGGCAAAATAGCTGACACCCACAACCTCAGGAAGGAGAAGTTCGTTTTGGCTCATGCTTCAGTCTGGTCTGGTTCCGAGGCTGGGCCTGGTGAAAGAGAGCTGCTCAGGGCGTGGTGAACAGGAAGTAGAGAGGAGGAAGGAGCCAAGGAAGGAGACGAGCCTTTCCAGGCTGCTCCTGAACCTTCCTCTTCCCACCTGACCCCGCCTCCTACCAGCGTCACAATCTCATTGTCGTCCAAGAACCCTGCCTGCATGATCTTGTGAGGCTTTTGAAGGACATCTAGATACATACCGTAACACCACACCACAGCCATTTGCTGTCACAAAGTTTGTTTGGAAGTGTCATGTATCATTTTTTATTATCCTGTTTTGTTCCGTTTCTGTGCTCTTCAGTTTTGAGAAAGGCTCAAAATGTCTAACAGGTTTTAGTTTCATATGAGTAACTATGTGTGACCATTTTTAATATGCTACAATATATTTCTAAAATCCTTTATAAACTTGTCTTTATTATTTACCAATATTTGGTGTTAACAGATTACTCTTTTCTCCCTATCTCACATAACTGGAAATTCTGCCATTAGGTACAAAGAAGACGAAATGCAAGTGTCCCTTCCCAGGAATGCCCACTTGCTGGAGAAAGTCACTTGTTTTACCTTTGGACGTATTTTCCATAAGAGAGGAGTAGACAAGCTCTAGAGAGGCTGGAGCAAGTCTTATAGTTAATTAGATTGGTCTGTCTCGCAGAAAGGAGAAAGTTGGCAAAGGAGTCTGCGGCATTTTCTGCTGAGGAGCTCAGAAGCCTGTTAAGACTCACCAGGGAGCGCTTCCTCCGACACTCGGATGCCCTCATGCCTAACGTGGTCCTAAGACAGCGAGACAGTGTTAAGCCCTCAGCCTCGTTCACTGGTAAGTTTTTATTACTTTGAATTTTGTTCTTGTTTTTGTAGCATCATCAGTGGTAGCTGTTATCACTAAATCTTAGGAGAGGTATTGGTCAAAACAAAATGCATTTTATAAATTTAAATAATGCATATTTTTATATAAGAGTATGTATGTATACAAGGGGCCATCAACAGTGAATAAATTTTTTAAAATTTATGACAGTCAAAAGCACTTTGCCAGGCCAGCCAAATGGCTCAGCAGATTAAAGCTCCTGCAAGCAGGCACAGGGGCTGGGGACTTGATCCCTGGGGCGCACTGAGACAGCGACTGAGGCTGGGCATGGTGGCATGCACCTGTAATCCCAGCTCTTGGGAGGCTATAAACAGGTGGATCACTACGAGTCCGATCTAGTAGTAAGACCCTGAACACCCTGTAGACCCTTCCCTAAAATACAAAAAAAAAAGGGGGGGCACATTGCCATTCCCCCTCCAGACACACCCCTCGTTTTCCCACTTGGCGCCTTGCCCTTGCCTCGGTGTGAAGCAGTCTGGAAGTCCTCTTCTCGGAGTGTCTGTGCCGTGCGATCCAGTGTGGATGCCGCTGCCGCCGAGCACCAGCCCACACAGCACAGGCTCACGGGCGTGGCACTGGGCCCTTCTCCCCTTCGTCACTAGAGCTAGCAGCATACAAATTCTGGTTCACCCCCAAAGTGAAAATGGAAGGTAAACATGAGTTGGTTCAAGACGCAGAGGCAGCCAGTGGAGGCAGCTGAGGACCTCGGGAAGCAGGCCCCAGGGCTACTCCGAGGTGGCGCCGGATAAGTGCCGCGGGGGACTCGTTACTGCAGTAATTGTTTTAGCCTAAACATTCACTAACTTGTGATCACGGTATATTCTCTGCACTCATTTAAGGAGTACGGGCTTTTTGATCACCCTTTTCATTCAGCGTGCCCAACATTAGCAAGTGATCTTTCTTATTATCCTTGCCACGGCTGCCAGAATGGATAGACATCTATTATGCTGTATTTTTAGAAAGTGGGGAAAGTAAGATCTACACAGTTTAGTGGGATAAGATACATCGTGTCTGCCACCCATTCGGGCTGGAACAGTCACCAAAATACACAGGAGGCCCAGAGCCATTTCAATATTAATTGGATTTCTATTTTCCTGGATTGTGGTGTTGTGATGAGTTTGAACAGAGCGAAGCTTTTCAGCATCTACCAAGAAAGCATTTGAAGATCCATTTGGCACAGTTTTAAGTGTAGAGGACAATTTTTGGGTTTTATTTTGTACAAATAATTTGATTGCATGGATTAATGAGGAAACAATCACAGAATCAAGTTAGCAGTAATGTTCTCTGAGTACCTTTTGTGTATTTGACACCAAAGGTACACCAGGAAACGAAAATCCGAGTCCCTGGCCTTCAGTAAGATTGCAATCTGTTTGTAAAGCAGGATACAAAAGCAGCAGCACATAGCACCCAGTGGAAGAACGCAGGCCTTGGTCAAGCTCCAGATCTCAGCATTGTCACTCTTTAGCTGCCCGGTTTGGGGCGCGTTATTTCACTTCTTCCTGTCCCGAGTGGGCGAATCATACAGCCTGCAACCAGGCTTCTCCTGGGGGTGGCAGGGCTCTCCTGAGGGTTAGCAGCTTGGTGCACACAGCACCAGGCAGGACAGAGAGGCTGTCACTTGTGCTAGTGTCACCCTCCCTCATATCAGTACCAAAGTTCAGCGACTGCCAGCGCCCTTGGAAAGGCCCAGGGGGACCGTGCCAGGGATGTGTTGGATCAGGGCAGGAACTTCGCTTCGTGGTGGCAGCCAGGCTGAGTACTGGCCCCGCAGCGCCTGCTCTGAGGCCATCGGCCTGTGTTCCGACCTGTTTATCTCGGGCATGATGGGTGGTTGTAAAGATGAAATTAGGGGCCAGGGAGATAGCAGCATACGTGCCTGCCTGGCAAGTGCAGGATCCTGACTTCAATCCCTGGTACGAGGAAAAAAGCATTATAAAGATGAAATTAATTACTTGCTCCTTGGGTAGCAAGTTGCCTGGTGTGGAGTAAGTGTTGTATGGTTTTTGGCTAAGTAACTCAGTGTAAATTCAGGAAGGAGAACTAATCAGGGCAGGGTCGCACAAGTGGCTCGGCAGTAGGTGAGGGACTCGGGAGATCCAGCGTGATGCTTCAGGAGAGTAGAGAATACGGGATTCCCTGAGCACACCCCATTATAAAGATAAGAAAAGCAGCGCTGAGGTGGGCTTCGGTGAGGGTCTGCATGGGAGATGGAAGGGTTGAAAGGCGGGAAAAGCACAGTAATGGCTGGGGATTTTATACAAATACTTTTGGGGCAGTACACCGCAGAGTTCCTGACTGGGCGCCATCTCTCATGAGCCCAGTCCCACCACCCCTGTCTCCAGCCGTTTCCATGGTAGCCAGGTGACACAGCGTGCGGTCCTTGCCAGCTTCGCGGCTCCCTGGCCTGTGCCCACGTCACTAGTGGCTACGCTTCAGACTCCCGCGTCAGTGTTTCAGAGACTTTCTCAGACCCTGCTCCACTTCAGCCGTTCCTTCTAGTGCTCTTCCCTACAGTTTGCCTTCACCTCGCTTCTCATGTGTTAAAATTGCGTATCATCGTGCAGTTCTGCATTAAATGTCAGCCTTCTTTGTGTGCAGAGTGCACGCCCACTTCCACCTCGGGTGGGCGCGGGGCCTGACGCAGTACCCGGCGCTCAGGCCTGGGGGAGCGCCCTGAAGCTCGGAAGGTGCTTACCACCTGAGGCTGTCGTGTGAGCGCGACTCCTCAGGAGGTCAGGGTACCTAACGTCCTTGTCTCGTGGATCTGCGCAGATGCTCTCCACACCAGTTCCACCACCTGTACAAACAGCAGGGCCAGCCAGACTTCCTACTTGGAGCTGTTATTTGTAGCCTACACCTTAGGAGCTCTTAGCAATTGATAAGGTTCTCTGGTTCGGCTCTGTTTTTACAAAAACTCTGGTCTGGGTGACAAGTAGCAAGTCGTTGTGTAGCCAGTGGCTTAACCTGACCTTGTATTTACTCATTTCCACAAAGTTGGGGAAAACTTTGCCCACGGCACAGGTGCTGCCCGCGCTCACGGTACCGTGGTGGCCTCCCCACAGGGCCGTGGGGCCGGGCGTAAGCCAATGTGCTGGCTCACTGCGCGAGGCCATGGTTTCGCTGTTCCAGACATTTAAAAATGAACCTTGCAGTATGCATTTCTAACTCTCATTTTATCAAACAGGTCACACCAGTAACAACGTAGCCTTTTCTTCATGACACACTCACATTTAGGTGGATGAGATTAGGGCTTAACCTCAGTACCTACACCCGTCACCAGTGACACCACTTCTGTTTGCTGTGATGTGACGTTCTGTAGGTCCCTTTCCTGTTTTCCTGTTGTACTGGTTTGATTTCCTTGTTCACCAATAAAACACTATAAAAAGGGACTTCTTGGTTTCTCAGAGAAGCTTTCTGTTCCTTTCTGGTATTAGCAAAGTGTAGTGTCCTGACAGACCAATACATGGAATGTTGTTTTATTTTGCTGTAAAGACCATATGGTTATTCTCCTAAAAATGAGACGAGCATGAACGTTTGTCCACCCATTCTTAAATATGTGACCTATGTCGTTCATGTTTATGTTGGTTGTATAAGCAAGGTTAAAAATTCATTATGTTGCAATACTTACAGTGTAGTATTTTTTAAAAGATGGCTTGCATTCTTTTATGAATTCACGGGATGCAATTGTGCAGAATTGCTATTGATTTTTTTCCCTTAGTGGAAAGCCGTGTCTCCATTAAGCATATTACCTTATTATAAATCTCATTATGCTATAAAATAGTATTTCGCTATCCTTATTAAGAAGTGGGAAGTGGCATATTTGTATGGTGTTTGGTGAGGGCAATCCAATGTAGATACTTAAAATATTCTTAAATCTTCAATGTGAAATAGTTTAATTATACAGGTTTTTGTTTTCATTTTTAAAAACTTTTGTTTAAAAATTTCTTTGCCAGATCATTTTTTCAAAGGATCACCGCACATTTGAAAATAAGTATCCCTATTGATACTTGATTAAACAGCTGTTACTCAGTGATTTTCTGCCAGTTACTAGAACTAAGATGTAATGGTTCAAAATAGAGTTTATAGCCAGGCAGTTTTAGAATTCACAAACGTCGTGTCATTAGTAATTTTGCCAGTGTTAACAAAGTGTGAGTGAGCTGGTAATTTCTAATGAGAAAAGAAGTGTCCCTCTGGGCTTTTGTTCACGTTATAAATAGTCTTACTATAGTCTTACTGTAGTTCGCAGCAGCATGTTAGCTAGAAAAAAACACAGTCTCACATACATTTTTGTAGTAATTTTAGGGTCCACTTCCTGTTGTTGGGACAAAATGTCTGACACCCAGCATAAAGGAGGAGAGGTCTGTTTGGGCTCAGGGTTTCAGAAGCTTTGGTTCCTAGTGGACTGGCTCGAAGCCAGGGAGGTCGTGTGGGAGGCCTTGGGGAAGAAACCTCTCAATCCCTGATATCCCAGAAGCTGAGGGTGCAGTAAAGAGAGACGGAAGGAAAGGGCCATGACCAGCTGTGGCCCTTAATGTCGCACACCCATGAGCCACACACAGACCCTAGGCGCGCTTTTCACTAAGCTCCTTAAGCCAATCAAGTCAACAGTCAGGACAGACCCTCAAGCACTAAGTAATACTTGCAGTGTTAGTGATTTGAGGATATGCATGTTAAAGTATTTTATATTAATTTAAAAATAAGGATTATCCCTGCCTGTAATCCCAGCTTTTGGGAGACTATAAACAGGCGGATCACTACAAGTCCAATCTAGTAGTGAAACCCTGAACACCCTGTAGACCCTTCCCTAAAATACAAAAAAGAAAAAAAGAAAAGAAAAACAAAAATTTATTGTAACTGTCCTACTAACCTGTTTTGAAGCTGTCTCATTGCTATTTGTTTCTCAATAAAATTAATTTTAAAAAATAATAATTAAGAAAACAAAAACAAAAAAGGATTATCCCTAAAGTAGTCTTTCCCTGAGAACAGTCCCTGTATTTGTCATTTTATTATTATACCTTTGAGAGTGAAATAATCTTGTCTTTGGAATTTGGAATTTTGGAAGATGATATTTTCTAGTCTATTTGCGCTAATTCCAGTTTATAGTATGAAAATCACTTAGTACATCTAGTGTGTTCGCTAGAGGGTGGCCCCTGGTTCTTTAAAAATAATTTACTAAAACTAGCAAAATTACCCTTTCATTTCATGAGTCCTAACAGTGCTGGTTTTTCAGTTTCTGACTTGCTTTGATGAGCTATTTTACTCATTTCCAGTGAGCTTCTCTGGCTTTTCCTGCACTTCAGACCGCCGGAGAGATCTGTAATAAATGCCCGAGCCAGGTCCTGTGCAGCTAAGTGTGGGCTATGACCCACACTTACGTATCTTATACCTCTGTTTATATTTTTACGTAGCAAAATTCAGTATGCTAATTCTTACTAATATTCCTTTCCCTTTAGCTGCCACTCGAGTAGACCCTGGCTCTTCAAGTCTAATGGAAAGCAGTTCTTTGGAATGGCCAGAGAAGTATGTTCTTCAAAATTTGGAAACTTTTGAAAAAGCTGGACAAAAAATGAGGTAATATTTGCATCTGTAAGACAGCATGTTATAGCTCACAGTTTTTATATGAACTTAATCCTTTATTTTATAACAAGTTTATAGTTGTGTTATGGAAGAAGCGCTCACTTCCTGTAAGTGGATAATCGAGAGTGATATATTGACGAACAGGGCCAGGTTGCCCTCCTCCGCCTTCTCCGTGCACTTCGCAGGGTATGTAATCACAGCGAACGTTCTCGGGCAGCCTTCCGGGCTGCCGTCTGTAGACACGCTGGGCGCATGCTTAGGAAGACTTCGTACGGGCGCGTCTAGATGAGGTGGGCACAGCCCCGCGCCTCAGCACGTGCCCCCACCTGTGTCCTCGTGTGCTCCCCTCCCTCTGCAGTGCTCTCCGGGAGGCAGCGTTCATGTTTAGTCCTGGCTTTAGCTCTCTGCTACAGCACATACCAGCACGGACAGCTGGCAACGGTTAAGCGGTGGAATCGAGGCCCTCTTACAGTGCCCTCATCCCAAATATGGCAGATCACGACCTCTAGCTATTCTGTTGTGCCCTTGTATGATTTGCCACACTTTTCTCTCATGTGTTTACTGGGATGTCAGCATGTATTTACTGGGCACTGACCATCAGGCACCGGGGGACACCCAAGCATCTCTCCTATCCTTTCAACCCGAGAGCCAGTCAGGGCCAAGCAAGCGACCAGACAGTGAATGTGAGCGCTGCAGGTTACTCTGGGTCGCAGATGGAGCCTGCATGGTGGCTGAGGTGATTGCGCTCCTGGTGGGGGTGGGGGTGGCCCTGACGGAGGGCACGTGGGTGGTCCAGAGTGCAGGGGCCCTGGCGGGTATGTGGGTCACTGACACACGTCGCTTGGACAGCACCCCTGGGTCATCACACAGAATTCGCATTGTATTATAGAAGTATATTGAAGGATTTATGCCGAGTGATGGCGACTTATTCCATAAATGAATTTTGATCTTTTATGACAAATAGATTACAGAGAGAGAAACTGGGGACAAAGAAATCCACTAAGTGGCTTTGCTGTAAGCTAAATGAGAGATAACAGACCTCAGACTAGACCCGTAGGACAACTTCACGGTGTATTTGGTGGTAAGCTAGTGAAGCCCTTCCTGTCGTGGGCTGGGTGTGGAGAGGGAAACAATCATGCAAGACAGTTTATTTTTATGTATTTATTTTTGGTACCAGGGACTGAACTCAGGACCTTGCACTTGCCGGGCAAGTGCTTACGCTGCGGAGCTATCTCCCCAGCTCAAGACAGTTTAGATTTCTGACTTCCACGGTGCAGTGAGGGATGTTTTCACTTATAAAATGGACAAGGTTATGGGCATGTTGGTCGCGAGAACGGTTTTGGAGAACAAAGTGGAGAAGTGTGCTTTAGAGATGCTAAGTTTGCCCTCCATTATCCACAACGAAATAGCCCATGGTCTCATGCGGGGGAGACCTCACCTCTATTTGGAGTTAGCTCAGGAGGCTGGTGGACGAGGACACAGGGTGAGACCCCCAGGAGGAGAGGGAAAGGACCGGGGCCGCCCTGGGAGCCTCTGTAGTGTCTACAGGCACAGGAGAAGATAGCGGGGAAGAGCAAGGGGGACAGAGAGTCTCCGTCTCATGCCCACCAGTTTTTTTTTTGGCGGAACCGGGATTGAACTCAGGGCCTTGCACTTGCCAGGGAAGCACTTATTCCCCTGAGCCATCTCCTCGGCTCATTATGCCCACCAATTTTAGGCAGCGTCTTTTACCTCCTACAGGAGAGGTGGTAGTCCCCCATTTGTCCCCTCCGTCCTCTTTGTGTCTTCAGTGCACAGTTCTCTCCTCCTTCAGCGATTGTTCCCGCTCCTCTCTGGCATCTCACCAAAGCGGGCCAGCGCTCGCCCAGCACAGCTGTGACCAGGGGCCTGCTTGGCCCCTCTCCTCGGGGAGTGCCGCGCTTTCCTGGACTTCCTATCTTAAAGAGAAGCCTGCTGCCAGTCAGATTTTGTTCCTTAGTATGTATTTTGTCCTATCTACAAATTACGGAATTTTCCATTTTCCTTACTGTTTTGAAATACCTGAGGTCGTGGTTAGAGGATGTTTTAGTCTTGAGATTTTTATCTTTTTTCAAAAGACAGAAGTATCTCTGGGAGATACTTTAGTATTTCTTCATCAATTATTCCTCTCTGCTTGTTTTCTTCTTTTTTTTTTTTTTTCCTCTGAAATACCCATTTTAATTTACATTAAACGTCCTGGATATTTTAATTCAAACTTTGCCTTTTCTCTCTATGTTTCTTTGAGGTTTTCACTGTGTGTCCCAGAAAAGTATTCCTTACATTTACTCTCTTCGTTTCTGTTAAACTTTTTAGTAGTAGTATTCATGTCTTAAGTTCCTAGTACATTTTCTTGTATTTTTTTTTCATAGCAGTGTGATCTTTTAGTCCTGTGGAGATGGGAGCTGATACTATAAAAATGCTCAGTAGACTGTGTCCATTCCAATGTATTTTCTTGACGATCTCATGCTCCTCTGAGCTGCTTTTTCGCTTTTTCCCTTATCCAGCCTTCTCCAGTGTCAGCGTGCACCCCCACCCCCCACCCCCACCGGGCTGTGGCGTGGTTGCCTCTCCCTTCCTGCTGGGCAGGGTGCAAGGTGGAGCTGGCCTGCAGGGAACACAGCAGGGCCAGGGTGAGCGGAATTCGTCTTGCTGCACTGTGCTGGGGCTTTATTCTGGGTCAGCAGCAGACTTGGACAGGTACAAGGCTGTGTCCCTCCAGGGGAAGCTTCTGTGATCTTAAGCGCAGGGCAGGATGTGTGGGAGGGTGGCGTGAGGGCCACGGTCCTGCATGCGGGTCTCACAGCATGCCACCTTGATCCGTGCTGGCCCACTCCATAACTGAGAAGTAGAGCCCCGCGTGGCTTCCTGGGAAGGGAATCAGACAGCTCTTCCCTCTGGTGTAGGTCTCTCTGTAGCTCGTGGAAAGGCGTTGGCCCTGGTTTGGTGGTGGCTAACCTGTGGCACCGTGCAGCAGCCCACGGTTTGTTATCACAGAAGCTCTGAAGGTTCCCCATCATTGCCTCAGTTTATCCCACTTTGAAACACACTGAACTTCTGGGTCCACTTGCCTTCTTTCTTCCTTTCCTCAGCCCTGTCAGGAATCTAACCTCCCGCACCTCAGCACTGGGCTTTCAGCTTGTTCCACCAGCAGGCCTGATGCGTGCTGTGTGCTGCAGCTGTCCCCACTGGCCCAAGACTCGTTTGTCAGGCAAGGCCCGGGTCTTCTCCTTGAGTCCCCTTGCACCCTGCGGTCCCTTCTGCGGACATCGAGGGGCTGCGTTGCCGGGGCTCTCACGACACTTTGTGGCGCTGTTCCTGCCTCTTTCCGTTGGTGTGCTCGTGGCCTCAGTCAGTCAGAAGCAGCTGCTGCGAGTCTGACACTCACTGTGGACTCATTCTGTGACATCGCCTGACGTGCACACAGCGAGTGCCAGACACTGCCGCTGCACGGGCCTGCAGTGACGTTCTTGGTTGTGCACCAGAGCCGTGTTGCGTAGTGTGCTTGTGTTAAAACAGATTTAAATCAGGGTAATGTGCCACTGCAGAGTGAATTTGAGGACCAGAGTCTGGTTTTAGACATAATCACCTGTTGTGTGACTTTTTGTGTCCTCCTAGGTTAAAGATGAAAATCCCTAGTTTGCTACAAAATTGTAGAAACCTAATGAGAGCCTGTGGTAACGTAGCTTTCAAGCTTAAAAATGCTAATACAATAAGGTGTTGTCAGTGTTGCTGTTTTTTTTAACCGAGACATATCTTGGTAGTGTAATTTATCACAAGCAAGGCTTTTAAATTGCTTCGATATCCTTGTGTTCGTGTTCTATATAAATGCAAATTGTACATGTCACCGCTGCAGCTGGTCTGCAAAATGATTGAGAGTAATATTCATTAAGAAACCTTTATCAGTCACTATTAGATAGGACGCACACAGGAATTAAATTAAACTCTTCGTGTACTTCCTGCCCTCTTGGACTGTGAGGTTCAGAGGATACATTAGCAGGTTTTCTGTGCGGCTGCTTTTGTTATATTTATATTTTCTTTCTTTTTGTAAGATTTATATTTTCAATTTAAAAATGAAGGGAAGGGCTGGGGATATAGCTTAGCAGCACAGCTCCTGCTGGCAAGCATGAGATCCTTAGTCCAATTTCTGGTAACCCCCCAAGAAAAAGGAATAAAGAAAGGGGAAGGAGCACTGTCAGTGTGTGAGTGATCCTTAATATAGAGAAACATGGGTCTAAAACCATGGCAGTATTTTAGTCATGTAATTATGAATAAATAAAAATGCTCACTTTGAGTAACAAAATAAACAATAAATTAATATAAATTTATGAAATCAATTTTCTGTGCAAGTATTGAAAGATTTGTTTGTTTGCTTTGCTGTTTTGTGGCACTGAGGGACTGAGGCGGGGTCTTTCCCACTGAGCCGCATCCTCAGTCCCTTTTTTATTTTTCATGTGAAGCTGCGCTGCCCAGAGTGGGCTCCGACTTGTGACCCTCCTGCCTCTGCCTCCCAGAGTGTGGGTTGATAAGCGAGTGCAAACACGCCCAGCAAAACGTAATGATCGTTCCTGTGTAGGACAGAGCTGCGGTGAGCAGTCACTGAGTGCTTGCGAGAACTAGCTTCCCTTTTTCAGTATTTGGAGTACTGTGAGCTCTTCTGATGTACAGAGTGCTAGGGAAGCAGTGCCTGCTCCGGAATCAGTCCAGTTCTGAGTGTCATTTTAAATGACTGTAGCCTAGCTTGTGCCAGTCTCGTCAGGTGAAATGTAGGAATAGCGATTGTTCCTAGGTTCAGTTTTCATTCTTAGAGAGTCCATAGACTCAGGTGTCACTTCATCCTGAAGGAAGGTCCGTTCCATCTTTCCAAGGAGGTTTACCTGGACGAAGAACACGGCGTCCATAGAGCAGCCTGCAGAGGCAGTGTCTGTGGGCCTCTCAGGTGTGGCAGCGATCCAGGGCTCGTTCAGAATGCTGTGATCACGGCGACAACAGCCCTTGGGGAGAATCCCATTGCTGTGTCATTTCATGATTGTGCTTTAAGTAATCTTTCAAGTTCATAGAAAATTGAAGCATTTATTACCTTGCCTTCGGAAGTCTATTACAGGGCTTCAAAACATACGAAAATTTACAGTTCAGCTTTGTAGAAGTGGTCACTGCATCCTACTGAATAATTAATATACTATCTTTTATAAGTAATGAAATTATGAAGAAAGAAATTATGCTTTTTTTTTTTTCTTAAGTAGAGTTATATTTCTGGCATCTCCAAGTTTCAATGTGACATACAGAGTTTTTGAAAATACAGTTTGAAACTAGTTAGTTTGCAAACATTTTACTTGGTTGTTTTCTATAGTGCGTCCTTCTCCCATTTTCTTTGTGTGCTTTTCTGGTTTCTGCTCCATCACCTTTTCTGAACTTTGGTGAAGTTGTGCACATCATTACTAAATCTGCATGACCTTGTCTCTCTAGAGCCGGCTCGTTTCCTCGGTCCTCAGAGCAGCTGCTGGGCCGTAAGGAGGGCGCCCGAGACATGGCCCCGCTGCTGGACGCGAAGGAGCTGCTGAGGCACTTCACCTCGGACGGACTGCCTGTGGGGGATCTGCAACCTCTGCCTGTGCAGAAGGGGTAGGTGCAGGGCTCGGGGCGTCCAGCTAACCTTTAACAATCGTTTAAAGCCACATCGCATTTCGTGCTTTGGGTTCGTTGATGCTCTGTGCTGCTTCAGCAGATCACAGTTTGCTTCTGGTATGTAGCAGCTGGCCTTTGTCGCCACTTTTTTGAGTGGTTGTGGGGCTTTCACACTGACCTGCGTCTTTAGCTTTTGTTTGCCTCTTTGTTTGTTTGCTTATTTATATTTTGAGACAAAGTCTAAGTTTTCCATGCTGGGCTGAAATTGGCAATCGCCTGCCTCAGCCTCCCAGAGTGCTGGGGTTGCGGGCACACACCACCACGGCCAGCCATAATTCTCACTGTTTCTATCATCCAAATGCCCTACCGGCTTGTGATACTGAATATAAGGGAAGCAGAAACAGTGAATGAAACCTGAGCATATACTTAGTAAATTCACTAACTTCCATTCTGCACACAAAGCACAGCACTTTTAGGAAACAGTGCATTTTGAATTAATATTTTTCATTCTCTCTTGTTTTACTGCCAGTTTGGATTTGGCCTGTGCTTGGCATTGTCATTGTCATTTATATGCCTAACACTAGCAGAAGCCAGGGCTTTTTCACTGAAGAAGGTAGAAAATGTAATAAAAAGGCTTTTGACACTATAACATTACCCTTAAGATCTATAGCGTCTGTGTGAATAATTTATAGCTAATTTCATTTCTGAGTCAACTTCCTCTGTGTTCCTGGTTAACAAATGCTGGATGCTGCCCGAAGTTGACTGAAGAATCCGTAGAACTGTGACACTGGTTACTTGTGAAGATTGAATAACATGGTCATCACCCAGTGTCCCTGTCATTGTTAGTCCATTGTGTTGGAGAACTCCTAAGGGACTTTAAAATTCTCTGATTGTTTCATTTGTTTTATAAAACTTGTGTTGATTTATACTGTGATGACTTCAGATTTTGAAGGTAAGTTTTCAAGATTAATTTGAAAGTAGTTATATTTCACAAATATTGTAGTAGCATTTGTGCCTTTTGTACGTATTCACTAGAGAGGGAGCAGTTTTGAAATCATCTTAATAATCTGCATTTTAATGATTTAATGATCTTAATGACATAAAAATTATATAACTTGGGAATAATTTTCCTTTTCTCAGAGCTTTGCGAGGGTGCTGCTAACCCTATTCTGTGGGAATCAAGACAGTAGCATAGAGTTTCATCTATTTAGTTAATAGGTTGCTCTCCTTCCAAGTTATTTAAGCGTGAACAGACAGCCCGATGAGTATGCCAGAACCGAATAATTTATTTATGTAGGTATATCCTATTGTGGTGTCTTTCTGCATGCAATATGGGGAGTCATTCTTTGTGAAGTTCACAGGTGATCTATTTAGGAAAGTTTTTGATGTCAGGAAAGAACTACATTGTTCATTATCGGGCGCGTCTTCCACTCGCATGAAAGTTGGAGGAGGAGCCATTTGGCCAAGCCAGCCACCTCCATGGTCTTCCGGATGGTCTGCCTGTGCTCGGAGCCTGCCATCAGTGAGGCCCTGTTAAGTAGAGCGCAGGCTTCACACCTCTGTGTAGGCCAAGAAATTAGCCAGTACACAGATTTATTCAAATGTGCTGTACAGAACAAGCTAGAAGAGAAATTTATAAACCAGACAAGGTGCCAAAGGGCGGGCCGGACGTGGGCACGGGGGACAGTGGGAAGGAAGCAGGTGAAACGCGAGGTACCCGCAGAGGTCTGTCCTACGTAACTGTTCATGTTAGTGAGCAGCCATCAAGTCCCAGAGCTCTGCGGTGTACTCGAGACTTCTCGGGGAGCATTTTAAATAGTTCAGACGATGAAGACTGTATTTCAGGATTCATGAATTGGCACATGTTTTATATATTTTGTAATAATTTGAAATCTTTTCAGGCCACTTTGTATTATTTCACATGGCAGAAGAGCAGTTCTCATCACAGGGTCCCAGGAGGGGGCTGTGACTGCGGGTCTCTTCTTGGGACCCGAGCAGGCACTTGCCCTGTCGTGTGGCATTTCCACTTCTGCTGAGCTCACGTCCTTCCTCCTTTATTCTGCCTCATATCTCTGTGCTAGTCAGTTGGGCAGTGCCCTCATCAACCCCACAAGTTCTCACCCTCAAGACCCCAGTGCGCTCTCTAAGGCCAGTGGGTCCCAGCCCAGGCAGAGTACCCGAGGGGGCGTATTCTGAACACAGCGACCTCCCCTTCGCCCTTGTGACCTTCCCTGCAGCTGTGGGCATGGACGGGGTTGAGCAGGAAGACTTTAGGCCCCTTCTCCCAGAATCACAGCCTGACACTTGAGGTCCGCCTGCTGTCTCCACCTGCTGAGATTAGAAAGTTGCCTTCTGAAATCACTGCATCGCCAGGCAACCCCAGATCTGAGTCCTGTCTGCGTTGTGGTGGGAAGTAAAGCCTGCTTTTGTTACCAGAGTTGCAAGTTCCCTCGAATTATCCCCCTGCCTAAAAGCTTAATTATCGCCCTGTTTAAATGAATAAACACAAATGTAATTCACCCTGTCAAAAAACCTTTTAGAAATAATACTACTTCCTAAACTTGCATTCCAAATCATTTTCTATTCTGATCTGTCCACTTCCCAGGATAGTTTTGTGTAGTAAGTAATATCCTAATGTCAAAAGCTGGAGGTACAGAAACCAGAAGTGGCAAATCCCACAGGCCCCTGCTCCTTCCTCCTCTTCAGGCTTCTGGCTGCACTGTGACCTTTGGCCTTTGGCACCTTATTCAGAGGGCTGGGTGGAAGTCAGGTTTGTGTCTTTAGACTCTTTCTCTGTCAATAAACCTTAAATACTAACAAAAACCCCTTTTTATTTCAGGGACAAGACTTTTGCTTTGACACCAGAGCTTAGTCCTGGGAAACTCCGCATCTTACCTTTTGAAAAAGCCTCAGTATGCCATTATCATGGCATTGAGTAAGTTTGCATTTATTTATACTTTTCTGCCCAGTGTTCTGTAGCTCCTCTCATGAAAGTGTGAAGAGAGACTAAAACATCATAGACGTGGAGATAAAACCAAGGAGAAAGCATATCAAAACCCGAAAGAACAAAAGAAGCAGCACATACACAAACAAGTTGTCTTCTATTGAAGAAAATAATTACTTGGTGCTGGGTGGTTTTACATCATTTAAACGCCCTCTTGTTAGTGAGGAGAGGTTTTAGCGTTATTTTGGCCCCTGCGCTACTGCCGTGTTCTCTGCACTGTGGGTCACCTTAATGTTCTGGTCACTAATTACAGTGTACCTGCTTAGAAGCTAGTAGATGGAGTGTGTTCCCTGTTGAATGTGCTAATTATGTGTACTTCTTCACAGGATTGTAATTGGCCGTCTTAAGGGTTCTCTTGCCTAATGGTGTTAGCTGTCTTGAGGCAGGTGCCTACCTGCCATTTTCACAGGGCAGGACATGGAAATTGCTGCTCATATATTTTACAGCAGATTTTTAAGGTTTTGGTGATTCATTTTGCAAAATTTTTCACATTCTGAAAGTGAACCATTATATTTATCCCGATTTTTCATAAATTAAAATAGTAATTTTAATTAGGCCTGATTCCCCATAAAAGTACAGGTCCTAGGAAAAGGAAATAGCATTCTTCTTTTTGAATAAATACTGTTGTTCTGCTTTATAACGTGTCTATTATATTTTACGAGACTAAATCAGGAAATCAGGAAGATCACTGTTTCGTAGCAGGGTGGTTGATGTCTGTTTTGAGGTGGTGAAAACTTTTTATTTATTTTGCCATTTTGTTCTCAGATGTTACTGTTACTTTCATATAGCCTTGTTTTCTGCTTTTTTTTTTTTTTAATTTTATTAAAAACCTACTGCTTCATCATTACAGAAAAGTTTACAAAGAAAGCCAGTTCTTTGCTACTACACCAGTCTCCAGGCTCAGTTTTCAGAAATACCTGTTTTGTTCTGTTTTCGTTTCCCTGCTGCTTGCTTCTTTTTTTTCTAGACTGTGTCCTTCTGTGTGTGTTGAGTACTGTCTGATTCTACTATGGAGAACGAAAGCTTTGTTCCTCATAGTCTCCATTCCATTTTTCTCTTTGCTTTGCTTCTGAAAATGTGTGTAAAACTTCTTTTTCTTATTCCATGACCTGTAAAACAGTATATCCTTCATTTCCTGTGATAATTTTAGGGCTTCCTGATCTGTTAAAGGGCCCTGTAGAGTATTTTCTAAGGTATTTTGCATAAAAGTTGAATCTCAAATTTGAGGCCAGTAAACACTGTTTGTCATTGTGATGAAAAATGGTGCTCCTGCTGAGAAAATGTGCTGGAATTAACATTTTTTGCTAGAGGGCCACAAAACTTACCCCAAGAAAAATCAATCTTTCTTTCTTTCTTTCTTTCTTTCTTTCTTTCTTTCTTTCTTTCTTTCCTTCTTTCTTTCTTTCCTTCTTTCTTTCACTGATTTGAATCAAATAAGCTCTGATGATTCTATCTTAACAGCTGGCTGAGGTGTCTCCCACATAACCACTCCTTAGATTATGTTTCCCCGAGTGCGGTTTATCCTGAGTCTCATCTCTCTTGGTGGTTCTTTGTTTTTCTTTTCTTCTTCTCGTCTTTAGTTCACTACAGAGAAGTTCAGTGGATCCATAACGTATGGACTTAGTAAGAGATATGTCATCCTTGACATTCATTTTTAAAGTAAGAAATGAAGGAGTAGTTGAAGATTCTTTCCTGGAGGCCTGATTTCCACGTCCCTGTGCGCACACCTACGGCAGGAGGCCGCTCCATCCTGGAGGTGCCCACTGTCTGTCTGTCCTCTGCTCCATCCTGCCCTCCTCAGAGACCAAACACACACAAATCTGGCTGAACTTGCTTTTCTTTGCCATAAATTTATCCCCCTGACAGGGCACTGAGACGGGACGCACAAAGTTGCAGGAGGCAGCAGTATGAGTCCACGTGTGTTTTCCCTAAATATGGGTGTGTAGAGCGTCAGCCTGTTCATGTGCAGTGTGGTGGGGCCGAAACAAACATTCAAGGGCCGGGGAGATGGCTCAGTGGAATAAGTGCTTCCCTGGCAAGCTCAAGGGTCTGAGTTCAATCCCCGGTTCCGCCAAAAAAAAAAAAAGAAAAAAGAAAAAGAAACATTGGGAGGAAATGTTAAAGCAGATGCAAACCTTGCAGAGCGAGCCCTTGCTTCCTGTGTTGTGCCTTGAAAGCCCCAAGCCCTCGCGCTCCTCTGGTGGAACTGTTTGGAAACGAACCCGTGCACTGCCTGGGTGCACATCTGGGTGTCTTGGTCACGGCCCCCCCCCCCCCCCGCAAGCTACCACCGATGGGAAGTGTGCTGTTTTCTGCTTCTGCACAGCAGGTTAACCTCTGCTGTCGTGCGGTGGCAGTCACAGCGTCACAGCCAGCCTCTCCCCACACTTTGAAAAATTTCTTTCATCTGTTCCACGTGATGTGGCAGTTTTCCCCTGGATGCGTTGCCATTGCCTGCTATGTGATCGTCCTTTATCTTTTTTAGTTACAAAGCAAAAATAGCTTTGTTATCTTGGGGGCATTTTTCTCTGTTCCGGCCCATAAAACTTTGGTTATTGTTTTACAAGAAAATATAGGTCTGTAATCCTTCATCTGGCAATAAATATTTAACTAAAATCACATCTATGCCATTACCCTGTTTCTTTTCTAGTTTATAAAGAACCTTTTTGTTTCCGTGACAAATCATAGTCCAATCATTTTTAAGGACAATTCAGATGGCCACTAAATGAACTCATATAGCACAAATAATTGCTTTGAGGGGGTAATACCCACAACTGTGGTCAAGAGACAACTAGAAAAAAAATCTGCAGTTTAGGAACAAAATATTAGGGCAGAAAACACATTCTTACAGTCAAAATATACATCTTTTCTGCCCAGATTCCTTCTGTCCTTGCTGATCGGGCATCTCATTGCCTCTTACCTAGAACTTTCTAAAAATTCGTAGCTCTTAATTTTACTCTAGAATTTTATGTACAATAGAAGTCAGACTCATCACTTATGCTCATAGTTGCTGATTTTTAATGAAACATTTTACTAAACAACATGCTAGAAAAAAAAATCAGTGAATGGGGGACCTAAATTCTCATCCCTGACCTGCCACCGGTGGACACTGTCACCAAAGCGCCAGCCTTCTCACAGTTCCAGTAAGCTGTCAGCTTAGCCTGAGGTGTTTCAAGTCCTGGCCCACATTAGTGTGCCTGCGCAGACTTCTCAATTGTGTGTATTTAAGATGCATGTATGGCATGATGTTTTGGTGAATGTACAACAGTCCAAAAAATTAACATAGCCATAGCCTTACACAGTCGCTTTCAAAGAATGCTGGGCCCTTTCGGCCGGAACCGCCATCTTCCAGTAATTTGCCAAAATGACTAACACAAAGGGCAAGAGGAGGGGAACCCGGTGTATGTTTTCCAGGCCTTTTAGAAAACATGGGGTTGTTCCTTTGGCTACATACATGCGAATCGACAAAAAGGGTGATATTGTAGACATCAAGGGAATGGGTACTGTGCAAAAAGGAATGCCTCACAAATGTTACCATGGCAAAACGGGAAGAGTCTACAACGTTACCCAGCATGCTGTTGGCATTGTTCTAAACAAGCAAGTTAAGGGCAAGATACTTGGCAAGAGGATTAATGTGCGTATCGAGCATATTAAACACTCAAAAAGTCGTGACAGCTTCCTGATATGTGTCAAGGAAAATGAGCAGAAAAAGAAGGAAGCCAAAGAGAAAGGTACCTGGGTTCAGCTGAAACGCCAGCCTGCCCCTCCCAGAGAAGCACACTTTGTGAGGACCAATGGAAAGGAACCCGAGTTGCTGGAACCCATTCCCTATGAATTCATGGCATAAACTGGGGACATTGCTCTGCCATTCAGTACCTAATTGGCAGCTTAAGTGTTCTAGGTCCTATGTAAAAATAAAATCATCCTGTGTTGTAAGGGTGGTTTTCTTAGTTGAACAGGTATGTGGTGCCTTCTTACCTCAGAAATATTTGCAGCAGATTTTCACTGTACCCAGTAATTGTGTCTAGCCTTTACTCTTCAGTATTTTCTTGCTGAAAGATACTGCTGAGGTATTGCGCAGGTGTATACCCAAAAATTCAAATATTTATAAAGTATTTATATTGGCTTGAAGATCCTGTAAATCATCATGGGGAAAAGATGTATCAAAATAAATGGAAGTCACTTCAGAAACAAACTTAAGTCCATTTCAGTTAAATAAATTGTTTAAAGCAAAAAAAAAAAAAAAAAAGAATGCTGGGGACTAGTTCTCACCACAGACCAATTCAATGAGAGACTGACGTGGAGCCAGTCCTGGGGCATTTCTCATGTTCAGCCTTGCGTGACCACTGCTGGTCAGCGCGTGATCCTGTACCTTACAGAAGACAGCGCACCAGGTCAGGCTTGAAGTCACAGGCTGGCTCTGAAGTCCTGCTGTGGTGTGTATATTTTAGTGTGCTCTAAGATGGGCTGTGTTAGTAAATCTGGTGGTACTGGCGATGGTGACAGCAGTACGCATTCGCTGCCTGTCTCGCACGCCCAGGCCTGGTTCCAAATTGCCTGCGGACCATTCAGGTGATCCACCCAGCAGTTCTTTCAGGTAAGGGCACAAGTATTATAAATCTCATTCTTCAGTCAGAGAAAAGAAGCACAGCTAAACCCACATGGCCCGGTTCACACAGCTAGTAAGTAGATGAGCCCAGATTTAAGTCCAGGGATTTAATAGCCTGTGTTAGATACCATAGTCTAGATTCTTAGACACCCAATATCTAAGTGTCACATTGGAAAGATAGAGTTTTTAAGTCCTGCATCAAGCAGTCAGATGTTTGGCTAATGGTACACTCCGTGGAAGCTGCATCCCAGCAATCTGGTTTGAGGCGCCCTGGTGGGATTGTACAGGAGTAGGAGGACAGGCCACAGTGACAGAAGTTACCTTTTCAGCCCAGCCCACGTGAGCACACGTGCACGTCTCCCTGATGTGCTGGAGGAAAGGGAAGACCCGTGCGGGGCCACGTTTGTCACACGTGACTTTTCCCGTGTGCTTAGCAGCATGGAACTCCTTTGAGCCTAGAAACATGGGCTAAGCTAACGTTTCATGAGTCCAGAGTCAGACTTCGTTGGAAACCAGATCTCGAGACATCCAAAGCGTTTGAAAGAAAACCTGTCAGTCAGAGAGATGAGGATTTATTCTTCACAAAAAGTCAAGATACTCAGAGCTGCTTGGAGAAACAGGTTAGGGCCTTTTTATACTCTTAATCTCTTGAAAATGAACTCATTTTAACGGAAGTCATCATTTCACCTTGGTGTAGATCAGTGGTGCCGAGACAGATGCTCCTGGCGTTTTAAGAAACGCTAAAAGAGCAGCCATATTATTTTGAAAGGACTCACTTAATGTGTTGCCCAGAAGCACAGTCAAGGAGAAGTCGGATTGTGCTTTACATTAAGTCCTTTGCCCTGTGCAGAAGAACATTGAACTTGTGGGGCTGCCAGCAGCTCCAGGCCTATGGCCACTTCTGGAGGTTTGGAGGGCTTGGAGCTGTGTGTCTCTCCTTTTCTGTATGCAGGAAGCAGCATGCTGCTCTCCTGGATACTGTCACTGTCACGATCTTTGGCCCTGTCCAGGTATTGCTTGGATGACCGGAAGTCCTTAGAGCGAGATGGAGGATTTTCGGAACTGCAGTCTCGTCTTATTCGGTATGAAACACAGACGACCTGCACCAGGGACAGCTTCCCTGGGCCCGCGGTGCTGAGCCCAGCCCCGTCACCTGCGGTTCCAGAGCCTGGCAGTGGCCCTGATGGAGAGGCGCTGCAGAGCGAGCTCCAAACCAGAGCATCCCGCCTGAAGCGGAGGTCCAGCAACCTGAGCTACCTTCGTTCCCCCAAAAGGTGAGGCTCTGAGTGCCAAAGATCGCAGCGTGACAGCAGCACAGTAGTCAGGGTGTGGTCTGTTTTCCTGGTTAGTCTGTTGTATTTCTGCCTGGATTTCTGTTGATGCCTTCAGGACAGGAAGTTTGCGTTTAACGTGAACGTGGATGATGCTGCTTAGGAGTTGTGGAAAGAAAGGACTTGGAAGCAAAAGTGCTTCTGGCACTCTGTGCTGACGGGTGGGCCCCAGGGTCCTGGCTGGCGGGATCCAGGCCGAGGTCCTTGTGGGGAAGAGGGATCCTTTGTGGACACTGTCCTGGGTCCCCGCTTCCTCTGCCTCGATTTCCTGCCTGGCACCATTGGAAACCCACTGCTGCGTAGAAAGTGCAGTTTTCAAGCCTACATAATTAGTACATCTTGCAAAACTTTTTAGATACCTCTTTTTTAGCTAAATAAAATCTCCAAATACTTGCTCAGAGATTAGAGGCTTATGAAAGAAACACTCCAGTTTCTATCAATTTTATGTATCTTTACAAATGTCAATTTTATGTATATTTACAACTGTCAAATTTAGGTTCTTGGTGCCTAAACCAAGACTTAAGTTTTTGCTATATGTATACCTTCAGAAATCCAAAAGTAGGTGCAAGTTTCACTTTCATATCTGTTCTGAGCACGTAAAAATAGTAGAAGGCTTTCTTTGACATGGAATAACTAAAAGATTTGAGAACCTTGTCAACTGGTACTTTTTACATCTAGTAGACAACACGTGCATTCGCATGTGGGGTGCTCTAGTGTTTGTACTGTGACTGGTGAAAAGCTTTGTGTTCCTGAAGAGTAAGCACTCTGAGCCCCGGGTTAGCAGAGGAGGGCGGGAGGCAGCTTGCTTGTGAAGGAAGCCTTGAGTCTGTGGGTGCACATGTGAATGTCTTAGAGATGTAGAAGCAACCGCAAAGTTTAGTCTTAGTTGTGCTTTTTAAAACATTGTCTTGGGCCGGCCAGATAGCTCAGCGAACTAAAGCACCTGCTTAGGCAGAGTGCAGCGGCCGGTGGTGGCCAGGGCTTTGATCCTCGGTGTGCCATGCTGGCCCTGCCCACAGGGCACACTGAGATGTTCATTGATTGACACTGGGCATGGTGGCGCACGCCTGTTTTCCCAGCACTTGGGAGGCTGAAAACAAGAGAATCACTATGAGTCTGTTCTACGTAGTGAGACCCTGTAAACCCTATAGACCCTGTCTTAAATACAGAAAAATAAAAAGAGTAAAATAAAAATAAAACACAGTCTTTTATTTTGCGTGGGCAGTTAGCGGCATAGGTACCATAAGAGGCAAATTTCATTATTAACATTCTCTTTGAATTTGGTCATGGTGGCACATACCAGTAGTCTCAGCTCACCAGAGGCTGAGGCAGGCGGATCACCATGAGGCCAAGGCCAGCCTGTACTCTGTAGTGAGTTCAAGGCCAGCCTGGACTACATAGTGAGACCCTGTCTCAAAGAAGAAACATGTCTTCATGGGCAAGTGTGAATGCTTGAAGGTGAACACTAAGTGTAGGGGGCACCACCTTGCACACCGTCCCTGAGGACACAAGGAGTTTAAATGCAGGAGGGAACACACAGGAGCGCTGCACGTTGCTTTCTCTCTGGAAATCCCAGTTTGCTGCACCGTGTCTCCAGTTGCACCCTTTTGCTAACTTGAAGAACTGAAGGACCAACTTCACAAAACACTGCTGATTGCTCACGTACGGCAGAGTAGCAGGAGACTTTGCCCTTCCCAAGTGTGGGTGTGGGTGCGCTTGTCGCATTACGCACTCGTGGAATCCACACTCTTGATCTCCCCCCACCGTAGGCGTCAGAAGTCAGACAGCTCAGGTTCGCTGCTGCCCCAGCCAGGTAGCAGCAGCCGGCGTCACACAGTGACAGCGGGGAAGCCACAGCCTAAGCAGGCATCGGCCATGACGCGCCCTTCACTCCCAGTTCCTGGCAGCAAGGCCCCAAAAGTCATGAAAAAGGCTGGTTCTGGTCAAAACACTGTGCATGAGTCGGAGCCATCAAAGCCCACGAAGGAGTCAAGGTCCCAGAAGCACACTCGGGTAAAGATTTTTTCTCACCCTTCCATTCTCCGTAAGAAATTCCTTCATTTGAACCTCGTGCAGTGTATGTCTAAAGGTCGTACAACTGAAATGAAATAATGTCTAGAATTTAAATCACTCAGAGTTAGGATGATGGGCCAAGTGAGTAGGGGGTTAAGTGACACAAAGTTAGCTAGAAATTGCTTATCCTTCAAACTAGGTGGTAGAAGTAGAAGGTTGGAATTAGCCAGGAGGTGGAGGCAGGAGGATCACAAGTTTGAGCCCAGCCTGGGCAGTTTAGCGACTTAGACACTCGGTCTCAAAGTAAAGTATAATAAAAAGGCTGGGGACATACCAGTGTGAAGGGTCTGGCTTCTGTCCCCAATGATGAGCAAAAAATAAATGGACACTGCTTTGAAATTTTCCATAGTGAAAAATAAATGCACACTTAGATATCCTCGCTGTGTGTAACCATCACACTCAGACTTCAGTTTAGAACTCCTGATTTCAGTTCCTCTCGTAGGAACTCCTGTCGTTCCCTATTGACACACTAATCCTGCCTGCTAGCGAGCTGTCTGTCTTTAGCACAAGCCTGTTACGATGAGCTCCAGCTACAAGGCTTGTTTTCCTGCCAAGAGGTGTTACTGCTCTGTGCTGTGTTCTCTTTAAGATGCTGAAGGAGGTGGTGGTCGAATCCCTGAGGAAGCACCGCATCACGGAGGCTCACGAGTGTTTCCCGGCATGTAGCCAGCGCCTCTTTGAGGTCTCCAAGTGCTACCTGAAGGTCGGTGTCTCCCCATCCCACCAGTGGCAACCGCCCTTCTCCTTGTCATGGTCCTGTTTGATAAGAAGTCGTTGTTCAAATGGCCATTTTTTATGCTAATGGCCTATACACTGTTGCTAGGTTTCTGTAAATGGAGATAGAAAAATGATGCAAAATATTTTTGTTTTTAGCTCTTATATAAAGTCACATTTTGCCTGGAATCCTCAGTATTTCCCCTAACAAGTATTACAACTTCAGCTGGATCTTCAGGCATTAATAATTAATGAGCTTAATTGACAATTATATTTTTATACACAGTGAGAAAACTGCTGGACTATGAAAACACCTATCGTTTCTCTTTGGGGACCCATCATTGGATAGTTAAGACATGAGACGGGTTAGCCAGTCAAGGCAGTTTTCTAAAACTTAGATGGTGTCGGATTATCTCTGTCTTGCCTTTCTCGTGCGCACAGCACCCTTCTTCATTAAAATCTCTCGGGCAAAACAGTTACCACAACAAAGAGCACAAGAAGGGGGCAAAAAAGCAGTGGAGTGTCATTGCACAAGTACACAGAGACAGGTAGCCACGAGAAGTCCCAGCTGGAGCACAGGGGCCCCAGGCAGGTCCATAGGCAGCATCTCCCAGGCGCCCTGGAGCCCACACCAGGCCTCAGGGAAGCAGGGGTAGACCAGGGGCTGGCTGCAGTCCGGGGGAAGTCAGTAGAGATCTGCCACATCATGGGGCCTGCGGTGTGCTCGGCATCCTCTCCCGGTGGGCACTGCGAGACCTGCTGCTCCCATGGAGGCAGGGCAGGAAGTTGTCAGTAGAGACAGAAAGCCTGCAGTGCCCAGGCACTGGCTGCCGGGTCACCCAGCCTTAAAATAAGCTCAGCACAGAGAACACCTCTGTAGTTCTAGTGTTGCTTTTCAAAATGTGGCCCACCAGGCAGGGAGCAGCGAGCTGCGCAGAGGGCTTCCGACACACCATGCAGGCAGCAAGGACAAGAAGGCTAAGGGACAGCAAGTAGAAGAGGACGTGCTGAACTGTTGGTATCTTAAAAGAAGGTAACTGTCCACAAGACTAGAGCAGGACGCTGCTTACAAAACAAAATTACAAGAACACAAAATCTCCTTAAAATTCAAAATATGATGAAATCTATGGAATAGAAAAGCTGAACAGTTTAGATGAAAAATAATTCCCAGAAGCTAGTGGGGCCAGCCAGATAGCTCATCAGATTAAAGCACCTACTTAGGCAGATGGAGGGACTGGGGTTTGATCCCTGGCACTACATGCCGAGCCGGCCCACACCTGGGCTTGCTGAGAGGGAAACTGAGACTGGGCTTGGTGGCATGCATCTGGAATCCCAGCACTGGGGAGGCTGGAAACAGGAGAATCACTGGAAGTCCAGTCTGTGTAGTGAGACCCAGTAGACCTGGTACTAAATATATAGAAATAAAAAAGAAGCTAGACTCAAATGAGAAAAACACTTATGCCTGTCTACAGTCCAAGCAGAAGTGTGGATTCCAGAGACTTTCAAACACAGAAAGGCCTTAAGATGTACCTCACCCCCTTGAGGACTCTTCCAGAAGCAACAGATCAGCAGACAAGGGGCAGAGCCCTAAGTGGAGAGGGAGAGCGGGTAGGTGGCGCGGCCAGAAGCTGCCAGCGTGGGTCAGCACTGTGCCGAGAGTGCGACTCCAGAAGCTCAGGAGTATATCCAGCTGCGCGTGAAGATGCAGATAAGGGAGGTGCCAAAGGGACTGACGGGCTGCTTCTGGGAAGCGCTGTAGAGCTTTGCGAAGGACCGTTTTTATTGTTTTAATCCACTTAGTTTTAAATTTTATAATCTTTGATGTCGTAAAATTTGTAGAGCCAGAGTCCAGTCTCCTTTCAAGTGTTGTTCCTGTTTGTGGTACAGTGAAATGGCAAAAAAGAGCAAAGAGGAAAAAACATAATTTAGGTGTCAAATACAAAGTGTATTCATTTCCTGTATACTAAGGCAAACACACAAATAGTAACTAGGCGTGGTAGAGGGTGGCTGTCCTGCCCCTTGGCTCAGCGCCCGTGGGAACACGAGCCGAGGGGACTGGCTTTCGGTGCGTGTGCGCCTGTTGTGCAGAGGGTGTTTTCATTTTCCAGGTTGGGGGTAGATCAGAATATTGTGCTTTGATTTGGGCAGTGTTTCCCTAACTGCATTTGACACTTGCAGAATTACTTAGGATGACCTCAGCTTGCGCACTGAGTTGCTCTCTGTAGTTTGATGTACAAATTACAAAAGGCTGTATTTGCTTCGTTTCTAGGATCTTAAAACTTCCAGGGGTCTCTCTGAAGAGATGAAGAAAACAGCGAACAACAACGTGGTCCAGGTCAGTAAGCAATTCCCGAGAATGGCACATCCTCGAGCTGGAGGTGCACTTGCGGGCGCTGTGCGGCTCTGCCGGGTGCGCACAGTCAGCGAGGGGCTTTCACTAGCCGCCTCCGAAAACCTTCCAAGTCCTTCACAGCAGGCGTGATTTACGCACAGTAGTGAATAATCCTCAACAGCCTGCTTTGTTAAAATAGCATTAAAGAAAAAGAAAAAACAAATACTTCAAAGAAGTAGAAAAACTCCTCCATTTTGATTAGCTGTTTTCAATGTTTGGCGTAATTTCTTTTGCGGGCCTTTTGAAATAAAGTTGGAAACAGTAGAAATCTTTACTTTGTCCAATGAGAAAAATACAGTACTCAAAATTGGACATTAGTTAGAAGTGGTTATTTACTTGGAAAATGAGATGTTTCTAAGTGCAAGATCTTGCTATGTTACTTTTTACTTTAAATTTTCTACCATTCTATTTGAAGTTTTAATAATATATTTTTGAACCACTTTTATTTTTAATAGAAAGATACATAATTATATTTTCCCCCTTTCCAGGTAATTGAATGGGTCTTGGAAAAAACAAGCAGGAAATGATCAGAATCCTTAGGGTTTGGACAAGAACAAGTCTGGATGTTACTGTTTACTGTTTCATTCCTTAGCTTGAAAATTAGAAACAAATTTCCAATTTTTTCAGTTAATAAGTTAATACTTCTAACATGTTTGTAAGTATCCTGTATTTACATAGTTTTGGTAATGCTCAATGAGTGTATTTTTAATTATGTATATATTTTATATAGTTACTATGTTTTAATTTTTTAAATTATTTTTGCTTTTAAATTTTTACTCTTGCCATCTTAATTATTGCAATAAAGAGAAATATCCCCCTCAATCTTGGGTGACTGGTCTTCATGCTTGGGACTGCCTCCACTTCTGAGTCGTATGCAGGATATTGCCACAGCGCCACGCTCTGTTCTAGAGTGTTGTCTATGCGACTGCTGCCAGGAGAGAAATAATGGACACAAAGCATTCACCCAGGGTCTGCCCTAGAGCCACACTGTCACTGCTGCTCGTGTTTACTTAGGATCAAAAACTGAAAAAAGGGCTGGCAGGATAGCTCAGCAATCTAAAGCACCCGAGTAGGCAAGCTTAGGCCAGCACACAGGGACTGCGATTTTATCCCAGCACCACAGGCCGCGCCAGCCCACCTCCAGGGCTTGCTGAGCCAGCCACAAAAAAAACAAAGTGAAGAAAAAAAGAAGAGACAAAAATTGTGAAACACATAATGAGAATGACCTTGAGTACAGATTTGATGAAAAAAAAATCTTTCCCACAGTGGACAATCTGGGATCCTTTTTTATGTATTTTTGTAACATCTGACAAATACATTGTATTTTTTTAATATTTTATTGAGAAGGCAATAGCAATGAGACAGTTTCAAAACAGGTTAGTAGGACAGTTACAATAATTACAATAATTAATACATTGCATATTATTGTCTTCTTAGTAGTTTTTCATAGTACAAGATTCAGACATGATATCTTGTCTAAACACTATTCAAAACTTCTCATTGAGCTAAGCAAGTAGCTGTATATCTATACTATTTTGTATGTACAGATATATATGTGTATATATATATATACATATATATATATATATTTTTTTTTTTCACTACAAAATGGTCCTTCATTTATATCCGCTTTTTTGTTTACTTTTGTCAGGGATGGGTATTCCATTGCCATTCAAATATTGTAGGCACATGAATTCAGCAAAGTAATCCAATATAGTCCAGTGGTCCGTAATAGTAGTGGGTTATCCGCAGGACTGGCAACATCAGAAGTTATTGACTTGAGCCTTTTACAGCTCAGCGTATTAATATGGCTTTACTTTTTATACCTCATTTTTATACTTTTCTGGATGGTTAAGACCAAGATAAAGTAAGACCTATATAACAAAAAATGTAACTTTTGTATCTGACAAGGTCAGTCAAATCCCCTCAGGATTTACCCTGAAACCCTGTAGAGCAAGTTGTAGATCTTTTGTCAGTGTCAGCCACATGGATGAGTCACGGCCTTCGCTTGACCATGGCATCATCTTTTAAGAACTGGGAAAATAAACGTGACCTCACCGTGCCCATGGCCGATGCTGGTCCTAGCTAACTTTGTGCCAGGCTCGATCCCAAGAACTTCGCAATTATCTCACAGAGGCCTGGTGGGGTAGATGCGATCCATGTGTATCAAGATAAGGTAAAGCGTGATGAGCTTGTTAGGAGCAGCGTCACGTAACTAGCTACAAGGAAAAGTGCAAGCTTTGATTTATTGAATCTCTTACTACCTGCTCAGTCCTAAATTTTGCAAATGTTGGCTTCCACATCTTTTTGTTTTCATTCCTTTCTTCCAAAGATCTTGACTTTCTACCATACTTCATATATTATGGATTAAGACCAGTTGTCGGACTGATACCCCTGAACAATATTTAAGTAATATGTTCAGAGTTTTAAGATTTTGAATAAACTTTTGTGATGTTTGACATTTAGTGTATATAAATTGTCCTTCTGAACAACAAAAAAAGTATAAACAAAAAAGTACATTGCCTTAATCACTTTTTTAGTATTTAGTACAAGGTCTACAGCTTAGTCATTTTTAAAAGGACATAAGTAACCAAATATTTTTTACTGGAAAAGCAAGCTAAAGGATTTATTTCAAGACCTACGATAAAGCTACAGTACAGACACTCTGGCATTTGAAATTTATAGATCAAAAAAACAAGTGAAATCTTAAAGGCACTGGGTACACCAAACATTTCTTTGAAGAAAGAAATGTTTTCAGAGAAATGCAGCTTGAATAAGCAGATAGATACTTACCCATTATGGTTTAGATAAAATCTACCCCAGAAATCTCCTTTATGCAGAGGTGGGGCCTTTGGACAGTGAAGGTCGCAGTGGCTCTAGGGCGTTCCTAGCTGACCACTACAAACAGGTGGGGCCTGAGGTGGAGGGTGACCCGGGAAGGTCTATTCGTGTCTCTGGCTCCTCTCTTCATTCTTTCTCTGCTTCCTGCTGCCATGCTACGACGCTTTCCCTTCACCACTCTGTCGTGCCATGGAGCCAACGTCAGCCTCTGCTCCTTGAAGTTGAGGGTGTTGGGTCCAGTGGTGGGAAAGCCTAACACCATCAATGCGGCAGCTAGATGAGCCTGACCAAGACCTTGGAGCATGCCCAGGTATGAACATGACCTAGCGTGTGGTCCCTTACTTAAAATACAAAACCACAGAACAACTAGAAGAAAATAGGTATAGTGGACCCTCAAGTTATGACTGGGCTGACATCTGAACCAGGTTGACTGGCATTTTAGTTTTAACTTATGACCACAGTCTTGAGTTATGATCTGAATGCTGGCCGCTTGTACCTCCAGGTGGTCTTAGATACAGATTTAATTTCAGAGAGTTCTGGAAGGAGCAGTATAACATCCTTTCCTGTATGGGGTTAATCAAGAAGTCAAAGTCCCTGTAAGGACCCTGGGGTCTGCCTGTACACAGGAGAGAGACTTTGAAGGCTGTGTGGAGGAGCGTGAGCCATCAGTGGACAACCTGAGTGACAGCTGGCCCTGGGGAACCGATGGTGTTCCTCAGTCAAGGATGAGCGCTAATTCTTTATTACCTTTGGATAAAACAGATTTCTGATAAACGAGCCAAAAGCCATAAACCTTAAAAAATAAATAATAAATTGTATTTCATTATTTAAAAGTTCTGCTCTTAGACATCATGAAGAAAATGAAAATGTAAGCCACAGACAGCTATTTGCAGTGCATATTTCTGTCAGAGGACTTTTATGTAGAACATATAAACTCTTACAAACTCAGTAATGAATCCTAATCTGAACTGAGTGATCAAAAGGTACAAAAAAATAGGGGCTGGGGAAATAGCTCAGTGGGATAAGTGCTTGTCTGGCAGGCAGTAGGTCCTGAGTTCGATCCCTGGTACCAACCCCAAAAAAGGTATGAAAAAATACTTTATCAAAGCAGATGTAAGAATGGCAAAAAGGACCTAAAGAAATGTTCAACATTGTTACCCCGAGGAGTGCAAATTAGAGATACATGCGTGCAATGCCTCTGAATCCCTGCTAAAATGGGAAATTTAAACATGGACAACTCATGGTTCGATTGTATATTCAGAAGTCTCACACTGGGGGCCGGGGAGATGGCTCAGTGGAATAAGCGCTTCCCTGGCAAGCGCAAGGGCCTGAGTTCAATCCCTGGTTCTGCCAAAAAAAAAAAAAAAAAAAAAAAAAAAAAAAAAAAGTCTCACACTGTCAGTGGGAAGAAAAAGGTTATAATTACTTTGGAAAAAAATTGCCTTTTTTTTTTTTTTCCCTAGTAGTGGGTATTGAACCAGGACCTTCACACTGAGCTACGTCACCATTACTTTTCCTCCCTTTAAATTTTGAAACATGATGTCACTAGGTTGCTAAATTGCCCGGACTGTGCTTGAACTTGGAATCCTCCTGCCTCAGCTTTTCGTGGTGCTGGGAATATAAGTGTTCATCACCACCATGCCCAGCTATTTCTTAAAATTTACACTTGTGAGTCAAATATAAAAGTTAGGGCATATGTTTATAGAAGAAATTGAACTCAAATGCTCAGACCAATGCTTAACAACCCCAAACTGAAAATCCCAATGTTCATCAACAAGTAAACTACACATATAGTGGAATACCACTCATCTACATAAACTTGAACAAACTTAAAATATGTACTAGCATGAACGACTCTCAAACATTACACTTTAAAAGAAAATGCTACAATTTTGAAATTATAAACATGGCAAATACACTCACAGGAAACGAAAAATAGTTTCCTGGGGCCAGGTGATGGATCGATTGCCTGCAAAACAGTGCCAAGAGCCTTTCTGTGTTACCCAGATGTTCTGGACCCTACTGTGGTGGTGACAGGTGCATACATGTCAGGCAAAACTCATCCGGCTCAGGGCCATGTGCCACGTGATGACACCGCACGTCCAACTGTGGTCCCACAAAATTTACTGCTAGTGACATCAGGCAGCTGTGGAAGTCCACTCTGTGACATTCAAGGGACAATCCAGTTAGCGTGCATGTTTCAGCACACACCCTGCTGTCAGCTGACGTGTGACAATGCTGAAAATTGCCACACACAGCCCGTGTTCTCTTGCTTCAGCTCAGCACAAGCACTGTGCCTTTGCTTGCTTTTGAAGCCCCCATAGCTCTCACTGTTCCCTGTTTTGTTCGTCTGCCACATAACTTGCATACTCTGGACCCAGCTTTGGTACGTGCTGTTACATTAGGCAGAACCATATGAAACGAACGTCATCTGACCATTTGCCTTCAGTGTTTTTCTTATTGCTGAGTGACTTTATTAAGAGGTTGATCGAGCTCACAGTTGTGGCGATTCAAGGGATGGAGCTGGCATCAGCCAGACTGATTGAGGGCCTCCTGGTGGGTGGTCCTGGTGCAAGAGGAAGACGTCCCCCAGCTGGACGGAAGCCATGGGAGCAGGAGGGCCAGCCTCACTCTTCCTATAATCAGGAGAACCAACTTGGGGGTCCAGAGGGTAGCGGCCCTGCTGGCCAAGGACCTCTCACTAGGCTCCACCTCTTACAGGCCCCACCTCGGCACTGCTGCACTGAGGAACAAACGATTGCACCCTTAAGTGCCGGCTTCAAAGAGACCTGCCTGTAGCTGTCGTGCTGTTGCTTTGCCCTTGGTTCCCAGCCACCACTCAGAC